TTGGGCTTTTATTTACTGGCTTTTGAGGGGGCAGTCTAAAATAAGTAGACAACAATAAAAAAAAACTTATATTGCCTCTTCTTTGGGATTTCAAAAGCACATTTAACAACTTTTAGAATTATTTCTTAGAAATATAACATTTTTACCACATGTTCAAATTAGAGAAGTATTATTTTAAGGCATAGATCAAGCAAGTAGTATTTAGTCTTTTTTTTTTTTAATAATTTATTTCTTTATTGAATCACTGTGGGAAAAGTTACAGAGCTTTCGGGTTTAGGTCTCAGTCATGTAAATATCAAACACATTTCCCTTTACCAATACTTATTTTTAACTACAAACCCCAATAGAACCCCACCTCCCACCCCTCCCAATTCCTGTGAGGCAGATGAGTTCTAGTTAATACTCTATCTACTTTGACTAGATACATTGTTTCGATAGAAGATGCACAATTATTGTTTAGAGTTTACGACCCCTCTCCCCCCAATCAGACATGCTGAAACAGCGTTGTGAAATGATTTGCTTTCTACAGCTGGGTTTAAGAATAAAATGATGTCGTGCGGCCGCAGTAGCAGCCGCACGGTTTTGGATTTCTGCTATTTTAATTATTAACCTTGGAAGTATTTCTATTAAAAGTTAGATAATTAAGAGATTGGTTTCTGTGCTCTGGAGTTGTGGCCGTACCGGAGAGCCGCTCATGGGGGGCAGCTGGTGACCTCGATCGGGCGTGAAGGACGGCCCAGAACGCCCCCCTTCCCATGAGGTCCCTGCCGCCCAGAAGTTGAAATTAAAGATATTTTAAGCAAGCTAGCCTGGAGAATAACAAATCCTAAAGTAGTTTCTATAGGAATAAAATAACAGCCAGCTTAATCAATGACTTTCATTTTCACTTCAGTATCAAAATTTACCCAACTAGAAATTATATAGGCCTTAAAATAATTGTGGACTGGATACATACTTTATCTTTATCTTTCTATTAGAGTAATAAAACAAACCTTTTTTATTTTTATTTATTTTATTTTGCAGTGGAACAAATAATCTACCAGGGGGGCAGGAGAGATAGTACAATGGGTAAGGCTCTTGCCTTTTATGTGTCTGACCTGGGTTCGATCCCCAGTACTCCAAATGGTACCCCCAATTCCACCAGGGGTGGTCCCTGAATACAGAGCCAGGAGAAAGTCCCGAGCATAGCTGCGACTCCAGCTGTACTCGAAAGACAAAAACCAAATTAAAAAGTACCGGTTTGTGATTAAGTATAAATGACATTTAAATAATGATAGAATATATGGGTGTGGGTCAGGATTTAGATATCTATACAGCTATAGAATGCAACAGTAAAGAAATTAGCATTTAAAAATTGAGGTAAAGTTAATATAAATGTTATATTAGTTTCAGGTGTACAGTGCATTTGTATATACTGTTAAATGACCACAATGAGTGTAGTTACCATCCATTATTGTATAAACTTATTGTTTTCTTGTGACAAGGACTTTGGATGTACTTTTAACAACCTTCACATATGACAATATACTATATCATGTTTGAATATTACAACCCAAGAGTTACTCATTTTATAACTGGAAACTCGTATCCTTTGACCTTCTTCACCTATTTCACCACATCCTCTCTGTCTCCCCACGGGGAACCACTCATGTGTTTCCAGTATCTGAGTTTAAGAAATCAACATCACACTGGTGGTGGAATTGGTGTTGGAATGAATACGGAATGTCTGAATAACTGAAACAACTGTATTGTGAACAGCTTTGTAAATCATGGTGTTTAAATATGAGAAATTGAAAAAAACCCAACAAACCAGAAATCAACATCACAGGGTTGGTTGTAGACACAGTACAGGGGTTAAGGCACTTGCCTTGCACGCAGCCAAGTTGCATTCAATCCCTGGCACCATCCATGGTCCCCACGAGCTTGCCAGGAATGATCCCTGGGCATAGAGCCAGAAATAAGCTCTAAGCACAGCTGGGTGTGGACCCAAAACCAAACCAAATCAAACCAAACCAAGCCAAAACCAATAGCTTGGTAGTGGTATGGCATACTGTATTCCTAAAAGATTAAAAATATTGTATATCCCAGTGCCTAAAATAAAAAACAAATACAAACAAGAAAAATCAGAATCTGTTTAATTTCAAAGAACACATTAAAAACTCACAGGGCACGTAACAGATTTAAAATTTTAGGAAAAAAATTGATATAGGTTTAATTATGCAGCTTGTTTCTAAATCTTAGTTTGTAGGAAGTGAGAAAACTAAGTTTATATAGCTATCCCTAGGTGATGGTCTGTTGGACTTTGAAGGCAGACTGTGGTCTAGTGGAGAGGTATTAGGCTCTGAGGACCTTTGCTTGAATCTGCCTCATATCTGTTATCTGCCTCTGAGCTGAATGATGTTAGGCAGAACTCTGGAGGACTATAACTTGTAAAGCTACAAGGAATGAGTTAATTAAATATTTATAAATGGTCCTCAACTTTAAACTGCATCTAGTGAAGCGTAATTAGAATAAAGTTCTAAATCTAAGCTCATTTTGAAATGCAAGCCAAGAAAAATAAATTTACTCAATATTGCCCCCTAGTGATAACCTCCCATAATGAAGCCCCTATGAATATAGAATTAGTAACTTGGTTTTTTTTTCTATCAAAAATTCCCCCAGAGTTTATCTTTGTTTAGATTTCTAGAATATGCACTAGGTTTTTCTCCTTGAAGGGCAATCTCCAAGTATATTCCTTTAAGTAAAGTGAACGTAGAAACCATAAAACTTCTATAGGTTATAATAATCTCATATTTAAAAAACAATTTTCTTGAGAATGTCTCTCCTTGGCCCCAATACTGGAAATCAAAAAGAAAAAGAATTAACAGTAACAAATGAAGGGTGCTACCTTGTCATCCAGTTGCCATGGTGAAGATTCCAGGGTTGGTTTTTCACACTAAAAGATGCCATCATTACAATTACTTTGTGGTATTTTCATCCATCTTCTCCCCAGGCCCCCCCCACCCCCAAATCTTCCAAACAAATAGGCAATGCTTTATCCCAAATCTACAATTATGAAAAAATATTTACATTATCCGGACTTCCTTGGTTTCCTTAGTTTGGACAGCAATTTCCAAACTAAGGAAATTGCTTTTCCCTAAAAAAAAAAAAAAAAAAATTTGCAACAACATACACTGGGCTCTGCAGGGTCTAGTATATAGGCAGCACTTGTAACTTTAAAAATCCTAATCTCTGAACTACAGAATTACTAGCACTCTTTCATCTTCTATAGGTCTTAGTGTCTTCATCTATCTACATTGTTGGGATGCTGGGAAAGTCAAATGAGGTCATATAAAAAGCAGTTAGCACAGTCTGATACTGAGAAAACAGAAAAAGGAGATATTATCAAGTATATTCCCTGTCAAAAAATGCTAGCTGTGGGGGTCAGGGAGAAAGCTCAAAGCGCTGGAGCAGATGCTTGGGTTCAGGCCTCTGGCACTACATGGTGCCCCGAGCACTAGAGGAGCTACCATTCCACTTCGAGCTCTGGTTTTAGTAATGGCTCCTCAAAAACAAAACAAAAGAGCTCATTACCGAAGCAAGCATCATATGATTACTTACAGGCACTGAAATTCCCCAAAGGAATCTTTCATACCCTGGGTTTTTCCTGAGACTGCATCTCAACATTTTTGTGTGTGTTTTCATTGGCAGCAGAGTCTCTGCTGGTGATATCTGTATTGGTGAAATGGAATCTGCTAAGACAACAAGAGTTGAGAGCAGTCTAGTGAAAAGAATGATAAGCAATAAAGAAACGTCTTCTAACTTCAGCAACATGGAGGTGTGCACACTGAAAAATGGGAAGAGCGAGCATTCGAAACATCCTGGATTGTTAGGTCTTTTCCACCCCCTAGTGGCCACAAGTAAGATTTGTTTTTAAAAAACTGTTTTGACCGAGATTACAATCTTGAGTCTGAAAAACAGCCAGCTTGCCTGTCTTGATAGGTTTACTGCCCATGTCAGAAAAAGGAGCTAGCGTGGCGTTCTTAACGTTACAATGCTAATATTAACATTACATTAACATTACAATTTGATCCACTTAATTCTCTTTACTCCCCGTGGAAGAAAATACTATGGAAAGACACAAGCAGCAGTACCTTTCAGGCAATGTGAACAGGAATGAAGATGATCACTGTGGACCTTCGGAAGAAATTTTAAAATAGGCATCTTTATGAAAATAGTTTGTCACTATATAGTTATTCAAAAGCCATGGTAATAATTAAAATCCCCAAGACTCTGAATCGATTCTTCTCTGCCTTAGCCCTTCATTTTTATAATGGATAATTATAGTAAACATTTCAACTCAAACATTCTAGAAGCTTCAATTAATAAAATTTCCTCTCTTGAAATCTATTTTTAGGACAAAATGGAAAGATAGTGACAAGAAATCATCATGCGACATATCTTGTTGTAAAATATTCTATGATGAATTACGCTAAGTGGAAAAATATAATTACCTTCACACCATGATACTCAATACAGAAAAAAATATAAGCAAACAAGGGGCTGGGAGGAAATAATTTTTTTGAATGTTAATGTGTAACCCATTTTCTATTCCTTTTTTTGATATTTTATGTGATACTGTTACATAAATAAAAATGAAAGAGAAAGGAAACCAGAAAGTATTCTTCAACATTTTATGTTCTACATAGATAAACCTAAATAGAACTGGAACCGGGAATCAGAACTCAAAATTTTTAGATTTCAGAGATCTAATTTAGATCTCAGAGATCACTATATTCCATATCAAGCTTAAAGGCAGATCACTTTTGAAGAAATATTTTCTCCATTAGCAGTTGAAACAGGAAGCAACTTATATAGCAATTTTTCAACTAATTGGAACATTTATCAGGACATCTCTTATTGAGAAGTTTCAATCTTACTCAAAGTCTCACTGCACTAAAACAGTCTATAAAGTATTGAAACTAATATTAAATATAACCATTGAATTGATACCAAATCCATCTATTTAAAATACTGTTTATTTGTGATTTAACATTAATTAGCATTACATCTAAGAGCAATATCAGATAACATTTATACATTTCCACAGGACACAAGAGGTTCATTGGCTCATTCTTTATGCCAAAGCAAGTAAATAGAGGCATTAGCAAAAGGTGCAAATAGTTCACTGTTGCGTTTAAAAAATATTATGCACATTGCATTCATTTAAGATATATATATTTAAAAAGTTATGGAAAAGCATAGTTCACAGGTTACTGTTTTCACATACGTTGTAATACAACATAAATGATGTAGAACATAGAAAAAACCCTCAAATACAGAATTAAGCAAATGAAAGTTTCCACTAAAAGATTAAAACACTGATTCCAGTAGTTAGTGAGATCAAAAAAGAAATTTCCAGGCTGTTTCAACTTTGCATCATCATACACATAACAAACAGAACCAAACCCAGAACACACTGTAATCAATGTGATTTTTTTTTTAACATGCCAACTCACCCTCCAGAAACACTTTGGATTATTTTTACCCACTGACCATTTTGGATCATTGATTTTACACTGATTTGTCACATCACTTGGGTGAACAGGGGAAAAACTATATTAAGCCTAGTTTTAATTTGTATTTACATTAGAAAGTTTACTGAAACAGAATAAAAAATTGTAAAAATCAGTAAGTGGTAGTTTTCTCACTGGGGGGAGGGGGTTTTAGAACCATTGATCTCTTTTAGTGCTGCCCTCTAAATACTCGTATGTAAAGATAACCGATTCATTTAAAAGTCAGTAGCAATGAAAAAATACAGAGAAGGAGAATTTTAGAAATTTGGGACATTTCTGAACAATTTATATTTTAGAAACTATTGTAAATATGAGTCATTACCAAGACAAAATTCTTGCCACGATACTTTTGTTCCTTCATCTTTTCACCTACTTATTCTTTTCTTTGTTTAGTTACCTCATTAGAGCTTCTTCATGTTAGCAATACTATGAGAAAATACACTTTTAAGATTCAAATACGAATCCAGTGAAACCTTTAAATGCGCTAACCCCCCTTGATACCAAGTTCCTGGATTCTTGAAATATATTTAAGTATACTTAGTACCAAGCAGCCTCAAATATGCTCTACTGTTAAATGATTGGCTAATATGCTTATGACATTTTTTTTATACTGAATGGTATACAAACATCTCAACATACAAAAATCTTTTTTTCCAGAGTTAAACTAAATAACCCATGTTATGTGTACAAAATCCCCTTTGTTGAAAAATAAGGGGCTTTCTAAACTAATATAAAAGGAAGTTTTCAAAAATTATAGTTTACTAAAAATGACCTTTTTTTGGCAAAAAAAATTACTTCATGTGAAGAAATTTTATACTATGAATAAAATTCCAAATTATTTTTTTCTTAAAATTTTTTAAAAAATTATGTGCCAGTGTATACTAATGATATAGATTCTTATCTTAGAAGCTTTTAAAGCATTCTGTTAATGCCCATTGAGACAATGGGACTCTAAAAGGTAAAGTCCATAATCATGATAAAAAATTATAATCTGATTACCAGGTGAAGAAGTATCAAGAAATAAAAATTCTCTCACTTGTTCACCAGTAATTTTTTTCCCAACAAATATTATGGAGAAGGCTTAAGTAATTCAGACAGATATCTGTTTGTGGTGAGTTATAAATATACTTTATGAGGGAGAGCAAATTAAAATAATCATTGTTTAAAAATTCAAAGCCATTTTGGACATATAAAATTAGAGATGAATTTTAAAGTATTTTTCATAATGTTTTTTAAAAAGTAAAACGTTTTCCAGTTCTTAAAAGTCCAGTTTGCTACATACCCCCAATCTGATCTACCACTGTATGTTAACGATCAACTTAAATGTGGTTTTTAAATGTGCAATGTCACACTGTAATAATAATTATTAAAAAAAGATCTTTAGGCTTCAACTTTTTCCTTTTTTTTGTTCTTTTTCAGAAAAGAAGGAGTGCGAAATTTCTTCTTTTTCTTGGATGGTGATTTTGAAGGTGAGCCTTCAGGTGACAGGACTTCTTCAATTTTTTCTGGAGACTTAATGGTAATCTCGATGTTTTCAATGGTCGTGCTTGTAGTTAACCTACTCACTCGTTTAGCAAGGTCATTTTCAACATCGTGCATATCATCCTTGCCATTCACGACCATGACAGGCACTTCCATGGACATGAAGCTCTTGGAAAACAGCTCATGGTTTTCTACAAAAGAGGAGGATTTTTTGAGTGTTAGCATCTTTATTGTACAAAATTAAAATGTTTTAGCAATGTACCAAGGCAATACTTTATTTCTATACAAATAATTGTTCTAATAAACAATGGGTCTATTAGCGTGAAGCTAATTTTCACACAAAGGGGAAGGGGACAAGGCAGTTACAGAGTGAAGGCTAGAGATATACTGTTTGATGACTCGAGAATTAATTGTACTTCTTAAAAGCCAGTATAAACAAGAAAAACTTGATTTTCTTTAATTTGGGAGGGTCATCATTTGGCAATTAAAAGTGAAAAAGATTTCATACTTCTAAATGGAAAACATACAACAGAGCAATTTTTATTTCACAAATTCTTAAGAACTGTACACTGCCAAAATTCGTTAAGTAGTCAACGGAAACACTGTACAAAAATAACACCCTCTTTAATAAAAAGGTATAAAAGTATTGGGAACTTGAAGTAAAATCCATGGCAAACTTACTGTTATGATCAGGTATTAAATTTCTTTATAAGAAAACAATGGCAGAGGGAAAGACTCTCAGGACTTACTCAGAAAATGCTATGGGAAATTACATCAAATACCTTCTAATTTTTCAGGGATATTTTGCGGTGATTGAGTTTGAGACTGAATTTGTGAAACAGATGAAGCGTCATCTGAGAGTAATTCCTGCTCAGCATCTGTTGGATAAGAGTTTGGTTAAAAAGCCATGCAAAAAATAAAGAAGCATTAAGATTTCAGAGAAGTTAGTGCATACATCAAATGCCTGCATACAGAGATGATAGTTTCTAAGCAATGAGCCAAACATGCTGACAGTTATTCTGAATATTGATAATTATGCACTAAGAGAAGGTTAATTTATTAAAATTTCTGACTTATAATAGTAATTTGACATACAGGCTTATGAAAAAGGAAGCTTAGCTAATGGCAGCCAGGCAAACAATATAAATGCATTTAGCTGTTGCTAAGAGTGTGTTAGAAAACCAAAATATATTGAGCAACCTGAAGAATTATAAAACCCTCTCCAATGATGCTCATAAATGAGGCAGAATACTTCACTAAATTTAAAAAAAAACAACGTCCAATTAGTGATTCTTATCAAAGCAGTCTTAGTGAGCTTATTCAGAAAGTCACAATTTAAAAGGGAGGTCATAATGTGAAAAAAAACTATAACGTTATATATATATATAAAATATAAAGGTAATGATTCCAGAGCATAGTATGTTACCTGACATCTTTAGGCTTTCAAAAAAAAAAGTAAACAATTAAAGAGGAATGTTTTACAAAATACAAAAACAGAAAGTTTTCAATCTTACGTTAGAATAAATAAATTCAATAAATCCACATATAACATTTAGTGCATTTATATTAATGAGTCAGGATGGTCCCTTTTTGTGACAAGGCACTAATACTGTGGCACTACAGCTGTTCTCTGGCTGATCTAGATGTCATTACTGTATCTCATCACTTTAGTCATAGATGTCATTCCAAAATTTTTTTTAGGTGGGGGGCAAAAAAGAGATCTTATGTGAAAATAAAAAAAAAACCCCAACCAAAAACAGCGCCCCAAAATATCAAATAACCCCCAACATGTCAGTATTATTAAAATAGAGGATGCAACAATGATGTTCTAAAATGTAGTAGTGACAGTTCTATGTAACAGTTAACATGGACAAAAAGTCTTTAACTCTCGGTTCTATTGTGTTTTGGATAAAAATTTCAACTACAAATTGTAGAAGTTCTAAAGCAAGGACTCTTACCCTATTCTCTTTAGGATCATAAACATGTAGCCTACCACTTAACACTCCTCACATCTTTAAATTAAGCATATATTTATAGATGACATATTTGAAGACTCAAGATTAAGAATTCTGATGTGAAAAGTCAGTTAAAAAAAGGAGCTAGTAATCAAATTACCTAGAGTGTTTTTTTGTTAATATAATCATTACAGTATAATTCATTATAATCCTTATTTAGGATTCTGAAGTCAAGAAAACACACTCTTGCTAGAGTGCCACTACCTGAAGAAAGTAACATCATAATTCAAGCAGCTTGCTTTCTGTTTTGATTTTGAAGTTAAGAATATCAGTACTTTGGACAACCAGGAATAACAAATTATACAAAGCACTAAGTCCACATTCTTGTGAATCTATATTTCATAGTAAAATATTTTTTAAGAAGTCAAACACTATGGAGTGCTTATTAATGTGCCTCCATCTACTTAGCTAGTCATCCTCTACTCATCTGGGGATTTCATTTTACTACAGAAGATTTGCTAGCAATCAGATTACTTTCTGAGAAAAAGAGTTGCCTAGATATTTAGCTAGCTGGTCTGAGGTAGCCTTTACCATTCTAGCAGTATCTACAATCCGGAAAGGACCCAGAGAAGTGACAAAGAGCAATTTATTATAAAAGAAAAATAAATATTATCTTCTTTCAGCCTATTCAAGGTGCTGCAATGCTAGCACTGTGGTTGTCCCAGGTTTATCCCCAATGCATTCTAGCACTTAAAGTTAACTAACCTTCCAGGCCTTGCTGTTTCCGTTCGATTGTCTTCTTATACTCTTCAAGTTCTCTTTCTGTGAGATGACTGAAGGGGTTTGGAGGAGCAGGTGGGGCTTGATCATCATCTTCAAACTGCATGGTCTTACCAATGAAAAAAAGTGACTTATTACCAAAAGCTTTACCTATCTCTGTATCACTGATAGCTGTACTTAAATATGCATCTACAAACAGAGAAATGTAGATATGACATTTACTCTCACCTACTTCACAACAATTTTAAGAAACGATAAAGCAACATGTTTTATTTAAAATAAATCAGGGCCCAGGGATGGTTCAATGGCCAAAGTGCCTGCTTTCGGGGTGTTAGGCCCTGAGTTCCATCCCTGGTGCTACAATGACCCAGCTATAATCTCTGGTGCAAATCAGCTATGTGCAAGCTCCGCAATGATATACCATCCCCCAGTAAGCACCAAGGCTGAGTAAGCACCACGACCAGATGTGCTAGATCTGGTGAGCACCACAACCAAGTGTGTGTATGACTGCCCAGTGATGGCAACAACAGAGGGAAGAATTTTTACAAACTGGAATTGTTTGTCATTTATCTAATGATAATGTTTGTAAAAAAATAGAATATCAGATTAATAATTTCTGACTACTGTCCAACTAAAAAATATTACTGGTGATTTTCTTTGATAATCTCATTTAGGTCAATTCCATTAACTTAAAAAACCCAAGCCAAGTTTTAAAAAGCTTTATATAACAAAGCTTCACTGTCACTGTTCTCGCGTTGTTCATCGATTTGCTCGAGCGGGCCCAGCAACGTCTCCATCATGAGACTTTGTTGTTACTGTGTTCGGCATATCGAATATGTCACAGGTAGCTTGCCAGGCTCTGCTGTGCGGGCGAGATACTCTCGGTAGCTTGCCGGGAACAAAGCTTCATTAAAAAAAAAAAGCTTCATTAAAAAAAACAACAACCCTATAAAAAAGACTTATTTCAAAGTGAAACTATCAGAAGAGCCTTTGTTTTGAGGGGGGCAACAGCTGGTGGTGCATGGGGGCTATTCCTGGTTCTGTGCTTGGGATCAAACCTTGGACTCTCGCAGGGTGTGTATGGACTCAGTCTGTTGAGCTACTTCTGCAGCCTCTCAAAAAAACTTTAAATTTTCTCTTAAAACAAATTTGTAGCTATTTCTCTTGGAAAGGAATTAATGAAACTTTCAGCTAAATCTTAATTGAACCCAGGCATCCGAAAAGGTTATCCCTCCACCAAGCCCCAATAAGATGACAGTGAAGACACAGCAACAAAAATGGTATAAAGTTTTAAGGAAGAAAGAATGGGAGAAGAGACAAGAGAGATAGAGAAACGGCAATGACACATTTTTGGGAGAAGGAAAAAAGATGGAAGAATGAGTAAGAGAAGCGAGAGCTTGGCCTTCAAGGAGGGGTACAAGTAAGAAGGATGCTCATTTTTCTGACAGAGCTCTAACCTCTAATGAGAGGCATCCCTCAGGCACCACAGGTGATAGTGAACAAAAGCTGGAAAGGAGGACAAGTTAAGGGTGACAAATCTGAAGAAATGAAGGTCCCATTTCCTATTCACACAGTCAAACATTTATCTCTTTACCATCTCTGCAGAACAGGTTTATTCTTCAGAACCACTGATTAGGGAAAGCAAAACATAGCTGAGGGCTCCCAGAACAATGACAGGAAACTGATGGATGACAGGAGAGTTCTCTAGATAAATTAAATAGCTACAGAAAAGAATTACAAGAGGCTGGGGGGATAGCTTCAAAGGGCTGGAGAGAATGCTCTGCACGCAGGAGGTCCAGGTTCATCCCCTTATATTGCCAGGAGTGAGCACCAAGTTGGGAGTAGCCACTGAGCACTGCTGGGTGGGGCTCAAACAAAAATGAACAAAACAATAGCCAAAAGCCAAAAAAGAACAGCAGATATTAATGTCTGGGGAGTCTCCGGAGAAATAAACTGGTCCATATCTAATTAATCTGGAATCCCCAAGCTGTGGTCATATCTGGGAACTAGGGCTGGGTTTCAGTGTCCCATTCTTAAGTATAAACAGACTATGATTACCAGATCCTTGGAGAAAGGTTCCAGAATGAAAGAAAATGATTAGAATAAAAAAGAAAAGGGAGCTCAAGGAAAAAGACAGTAAAGGCAGCTCAAAAAAAAAAAAATTAAAAGAAATTCCCTTAAATAAATAAGAGAAAACACTGTGTCTATGAAAGAAAGACCAAGATATTACTATTTTTTGTTACTGCTTGTTTTGGGGATGCACCTGGTGGTGTTTAGGCTTTACTCCTGGCTCTGTTCTCAGGGATCACTTCTGGAAATTCTGTTTAGGAGACTGTATGTGGTCATGTGCAAGGCAAGCACCCTACTCTACCCACTGTAATATCTCTCTGGCCCCAGGATATTACTAATTTTTTTTAAAGAAACACTAAAGAATATCTGAAAAATTAAAGAAAATTAATATCAAACTAGAAATGGAATAGGATTAGAAAATAAAGCCAAGCAAGCTTCCTAGAAAGGTTAAAAAGACAAAGAAGACAGAAAGTAGAAAAGAAAAAAGAACAATAAGAGAGCCTTGATCAAAGAGATCCAACAAAGAGTATTTCTGAACAGAAGAATAAAGAAATTGCAGGTGGGGGTGGGAGTGTTGGTTGGGAATGCTGAAGAAATAGAAAAAAACCCAACAATCCTAATACTGCCGGACGTGACTTTGCAGATTTAAAGGAGTTGCTAAATTAAAAGGGGTTGCTAAGAACAAAGACTAAAAAGAGAACTACTACAAAGTACACTGTCGTGAAATACATTTTAGAAACTTTAGAACAGCAGGGTTGAAAACAAGGCCTGTAGAACAAAAAAGAACACAAATACAAAGGTACATGAAATCACAGTGCCCTCCTCCTTCAAACGGCAGCATGCTTCTTGTGTTCAGTGGGAAAATTATTTCTCAAATCATATAATCCTAGAATTCTACATCCATTATTTGAAGGCAGAACACAGGAATTTCAGAATGCAATCTTTTTTATGTATCCTTTCGAAGAGAACTGCCAGAGAATGTGTTCCATGATAAAGTTGCATTTCCAGTAAGGAGCAGATATAAGCTAGTAAAAGGCCCTGAGAAGCACCAGGAGCCTGAAATTAGACAGTACAACTGGCCTGAAAAATTTGACCAACCCTGATGAACTAGAATTACAGAGGGCTGGAACTGAGAGGGTACCTGTTACCTCTGATCTCATGGAAATAATATTGAGAGACTTTATGCTTTTGTTGAAAAGTCTGAGGCAAAGATAAGACCCCAAATACTAAACCTAATGAAAAAATATCAATAGGGGAAGAAAAATTATGTTGGAAAGAAAATTTAATCCTGGGCTACTAAAAGTTTAGCAGTAATGGTTTAAAGATATAAATACTGAAAAAGCTGATATACAGAAGGAAGAATACAGAAGGAAGGGGCTGGAGTGATAGCACAGCGGGTAGGGCATTTGCCTTGCACGCGGCCAACCCAGGTTCATTTCCCAGCATCCCATATGGTCCCCTGAGCACAGCCAGGAGGAATTTCTGAGTGCAGAGCCAGGAGTAACCCCTGAACATTGCTGGGTGTGACCCAAAAAGCTTGAAAAAAAAAGAAGGAAGTATATGAAACAGGTTACATAAACCCTCATCTTCCATAAAAGTTGTTACCTCTATCTTATCATTAATTCTAAAACGAAGTCTGCCTTCACATTTTTCCATCTATGAAAATGGGCATCATCTTATAATTGATGGCATTCTACAGTTACAACTGTAAGAGTTTTTCTCTCTTTTTTAGTGATAGAACAATGGTATCTTTATATATCTATATATCTATATATGCTTGATCACAAGTCTGATGAAATATAGTTGTGATCCAAACCTGATTAACCAAGGTAGATGGTAGAAGCAACAACAAAACCAGAAACTGATTGAAGGTGACATTTGAACTCTTGTAACTCAACTTAAATTTAAAAATAATACCACGCTTAAATTCAATATATTGTTCCATTAACTTACAGAAGGAGGCTTATCCACAACAATTCCAGCAAGCAACTGAGATTGTGGTCCTGCTGTTTTCAAGTCATATCGGTTTTGTTCTCGAATCTGAATGGCAAGAATAGTAATAAAAATTTCTTGGAGGCAATAAGGCAGGTATTCCTTATTTTCTCTTTCTTTATAGCTTGTTGCTCTTTGACCACCTCAGAGTGAGAGCCATTTTAATTCCTACCTCTCTTCTTTCTGAGATATGAGACCCTAGTGACAAATTGTGTTAACTGAATTATATTTTTCACCAATACAAACCCATTTCCCAGTAACTAGCAGAGTTGGAAGTATTTATTTATAAGCTCAAATTATGCTGAATTAAATTTCAATGTTTTCTGTATTCGAACCCCTATCGTTGGTCTTAATCAGGTTAATCATTAAAGTTAAATATAAAACAGTATGAAAATGTCTCTCATTGTCTGTACACCCAACTGTGTTCATCACAGCTTTATAATTACCCAGTTCTGCAAATAGCCCAGTGTCCAACAACAGATGAGTAGATAAAGAGATTGTAGAATATACACACAATGGAATGTTACTCAGCTATGGGAAAAGATGAAATTGTAATTTGCTGCTATGTGGATGGAACCGGAGGAAGTCACGCTAAGTGAAGTCAGTCAGAAAGAAAATGACAAAAAAAAAAAAAGATGATCTCACAATAGATGTGTAATATGAAGAAACAAAGAAAGGGATTAGATAATCCTCAATGGAAAAAACCCAGAGATATGGCCAATAGAACTGGGATTTGAGGATGTATGAGTGCTAAGCTGGGATGGGGTGGGGAAGTCCCTTGGGATAATGGGGGATGCTGGCAGTGTGGTAGTAGGCATGAGGTAGCAGCACTGCGAATATAAAAAAGTCCCATTGGTACTATTGTTAAAAATAAAAATATATTTAAAAAATGTCTCTCCTGGGCATAGACCAGGTCTTACCTTATTTCTCTTTTCTAGTACTTCATTCGGGTTTGTGTTTAAAGGAACAAATTGATTTGGATCTTCTATTTTGATGGGTGTTCCACTACTAACTTTAGAAGAGTCCTCTGCTTTCATCCACTAAAGAATAAAAAGATTCAAGAATGAAGTTTTTTATTAAGGAAGTACAGTAGGGTTTTTGATAATGGTTTATTGACCCAAAGAGGAAGGAACATACATTGATAATATTTTATTTATTTATTTATTTAGACTTTGGTTTTTGGGCAACACTAGGCAGTGCTCAAGGCTTACTTCTTTCTATGTACTCAGGGATCACTCCTGGTAGGGTTTGGGGGCCCGTATGGGTTACCAGGGATCACACCCTCCCTGGTTGGCTGCATGCAAAACAAGTGCCCTTCCCATCTTCCTCGCCAACATTTAATAAAGAATTTCACTAGTTAGAAAAAGGCTCAGAACAAGAATTTTAAAAACTGCTTATGGTGCCAGAGACATAGTTCAATGGACTGGAGCACATGCTCTGCACACAGGAAGTAGGAGTCTGATTTTCAACATAAAGTCCCTCAGTACAGTGAGGAGTGACCCTTGAGCACAGCGGGGAGGAGATTCTGTGTACTGCTAGGTATTGTTTCAAAACTCAAAGAAAACAAACCCCCACTCCCAAAATAATTCAAAAGAAAAAAATCTACAACCTGCTCTGATTATAAACTCTTTTTCTCTTTGCTTTGTGAGTGAGTGTGTGTGTGTGTGTGTGTGTGTGTGTGTGTGTGTGTGTGTGTGTGTGTATGAGTGTGGCGAGGGTGGGGAGGTCTAGTGTCTCCCAAGAGGTGTTCAAGAGTCCTGGGGAATCCTTTCCAGAGATTCTTAGTCAACAAGCCCAGTGGTCCAACGTAATGGTTCAAGGATGTTCTGCTTCTTGGGACCTATGATGCCAGGCCTCACCCAGGTCACCCAGATGGTTCTTAGAGGGCTCCAGGGCTGCACCAGGTGTGCAGTACCAGGAAGCAAATGTGGTTGCTACATGCAGGATACATACTTTAACATTTGTACTATTTCTCTGCCTCTCTCTGCTTGGTTTTTTAAAAACAATGCTGAAAATATTTTTAGCATAGCACAAAGCATGATCTCACATTAACTCACATCCAAAAGTACTCTGGCACTAAAGTTTCACCCACTGATAATGGCCAAGATATGTCACCAAAAAGGATTAAAGAACTCTCTTTAGAGCTAGAGGAAAACTGTCTGCCACAGAGCAGGGGGAGGGAGGGGTGGGAGGGACATTGGTGGTGGAAAATGTACACCAGTGGAAAGATGGGTGTTCGATCATTTTATGCCTGAAACTCAACCATGAAAGCTTTGTAAGTCTAGCTCATGGTGATACAATAAAAAAAAAATTCTTTCAATTTAGCTTTCCAGAATTTATTTATTTTTTATTTTTTGGTCAATGGAAAACACCAAGTCCTTCATGAGCATTTTATAAAAGACTGAATTTGAGGTAACCTATAACATACCAGAATAGGGATGAAAAATTCTTAATACAATTCTCTTTTATTATACATCAGAACCTTAAAGAAGGCTAATATTCATCAAGATTAATGATGACTGGACATCAATCTGTCAAAATTAAATCTAGGACACTAATGAGTTTAATTATATTCTTCTACTAGAGGAAAAGAAATCTTATAGACAAGGGAAAAACCCACTGATTACTTTGGCATTTCCATATCGAACGTTACTGATTCATATGATAACATGAACTGATTTTAACCATCTGCAGAGTGGTGATAAGCGCTCTAAAACTGAATCAGATCCAAAACAAAATGATGAAAAAGAGAAAATAACTCGTATATCTTGACCTAAAAGAGCTCGCTTAAGGGTGGCTGTGGGCAGTAATTCAAGCAACTTTGGCATCATCGGGCACTAACTTTTTACTTTGAATTCACTGGCACAAGACAAATCACAAAGCAGATAAATGTAGTGAAAAAGAATGGAGCTCTAACTGAGACTACATTAAAATCCCACTTTACCATTTATAAAACTGTTTAAACCCTCACTGCCTCAGTTTCCTCATCTACAGAACAGAGAGAAAAAAGGCACTGTCCCTGGACTAAGAGAATTAAATGTGATAATTCATGAATAAAAGCTATAATCAGGTGTCTAACACAAATACTCCATAAATTATAGTGATAATGTTATTAATATTACACTCTACTTTCACATCATTTTTGACATAGAACATATGTTTATGAGTCAGCAGGTAAAATACTTGGTAGGCAGACCATGTTAAATAGCGACATACTGTGATTTTGGTTCTGGGACTGGTTTCCCCATTTCGAGATTCCTCAGGGACATTCACTTTCATGTATGTATTTGGTGAGTTCAGCCATCTTGTTTTTTCACGCTGCTGTCTCTGTGCCATGTATTTGAGGGGAGAGAGTGGCACTGTATCGTCTTCAAAGGAGAAGGCAGTCACAGTTGCTGGGATTTCCACATCACTCTTGTGTCTGGGCTTTTCTCGAATAAGAGGATGCCTATAAGCATAGCCTGTTCTATACCCCTAAGAGAGAACAACCATATTTTAAGTAATTAAGCCTGTACCAACATAGAATTTTGATTATAACTCTCTTTAAACAATGATTCCAAAGACTCCTTTTTATTGAAAATAAAGGGAAAGACTTCTTTCCAAGTCCCACAATAAGCTCCACCTAACACTAGAGTTGAAATGAAGCAGATTTCAAGATCTGGTTAAAACTGATTCCAGCTGACAATGCAATTTCCACTTATACCACTGTTCCTGACAAAGGTAATTTCAAAACTGCTGACCAGAAATATTTTCCTAGCTATAAACTAGTTTTCCAGAGGCCAAATTAAAGTGTTCATTTCTGTCTTGGTTCCTGGGTCTAAAGGCAATTTACCTTCCAGCCTTTTGTGGAAGAGGCAAAAATCTAACATTAGATGATATTTACATGTTTCACTGTTTGATTCTTTAAAATGTGGGAAAACTACCCTGAATGAATAGCTTTCTATGGTCAAACTCTGCTCCTGGAGGAAAAAGTATGTTCCATAACCAAAGCAAGATGGAAGTATCTACTCTTCAATTTAAAGACTGAAATACAAGATAACATTTCAACTGTTCACCTACCAAATTGTCCAAGGTCCTCATTAGTCCTTCAAACTCAATCTCGCCAACCTTCCATTTTTGATGAGAACCCAAATTCACACCACCTCCTCCAGATGCTGCTACATCGTGAGTGAAAACTTTAAACTTCTGAAGATCCAGTACAAGTAGATTGTCTACTCCACCTGCCCCTGCTAACGCTCGCACCTGTAATCAACAGTAAAACATAGAATTACACATGCTAAGGACTATCATGAGTGCTTTATGTTTTTGTGGAGTGGTTGGGGAAGGGTATGGGCCACACCTGGTGGTACTCAGGGCTTACTTCAGACGCTATGCTCAGGGCTCCACTTTTGGGGGGGCCTGGGAAACCATATGGGCAGCTGGGGATCACATCCGTGGATGGCTGTGTGTAAGGGCACTTGCCCTATCTGCTGTATAACTGCTCTGGCCCCATGAGTGCCTAACTTTTAAAAAGGAAAAACTCCCCTGTGAGCACAGAGCTGGCACCTGATTTGATCCCCAATCCAAAAACCAACAAAGGGACAATTTTAATCCAGCTAATATCCAAGACTCGGTTATTTAGAGTACTAACAACAAAACAAAGCAATACAGTACACCGTGACAGCAGGCAGCTGAAGTGTCTTTTCCATTTGTCTTGTAAAAGATCCCTTCCATTACTGCACTCTTCCTGATGGAAAACACATTTACAGTCATACCTCTGAATATATTTCAAATGACTGAATACTCCTGCCAAATTCAAAAGTTCTTTTCTAGTAATTTTCCCAAGGCTACTCAGTCAATACTTCAGTTGAAAGTTATAATTTTAAAGGACCACAGGCACATACTTGTAAGGATTTTTTTTTCCAGGCAGAAGTCAGCTTGGTATGTTAATTTAATTAGACTTTTCATAGTCTCATGTGAGAAGAGAAGAAAAAAAAAAGAGAAAAAAGAAGTTGGCAATTAAGATAGGTTAGAGATGTAGAAAAAAAATTTTGCCTGCTCTTTTGGGATGATACATCCAATGAACTAAAATCATTATTATTTGCTTTAAGAGAATCTGCTTGGCATTCTTTTTTTTTGGTTTTGTTTTGCTGTTATTTTGGGGGGGGGGGAGGCACATCTGGCAGTGCTCCGGGCTTACTCCTGGCTCTGCACTCAGGGATCACTCCTATACAGGGTGCCAGAGATGGAACCTAGGTTGGCTGAATGCAAGGTGTTTACCCTACCCACTGTTCTACTGTTGTGGTCTCTCGGTCCTGCTTGGCTTTCTTGAAGAGGAAAATTAGGTTGTTAAATACACAGTTTATTTGAAGGAAAAAAGTATTTTAAAAATAGCCAACTCTTTATAGAACCTAGTAAGAATTTTTAAATTAGAATTAAAGACTAATTCTGAACTTACAATTTTTATAAAAGTGACCCTAAAGTAAGTGATCTTCGATGATTGGCAGTGACTTTTGTTTCTCTATTGGCAACATAATGCTCGAAGGTGAAATGGAGAAATGTGCAATTAAATTATCTTTTAAATGTAGACTTGTGAGGAAAATGATACTTTTGAAGCACAGATGTATATAATTGAATCAACATAAATCTGACTAAAATAAAACAGAAGTTCTCTTAAAAGACAAAACAAAAAAACAACCAATGGAATTTTGGAAATAATTTTGCAAACTCCAACTACACAAGCAAAGAGCAAAGTGAAAGTGGAGGCATATTGATTTTTCCTACCTGAATCTCACAGGCAATCTGCGCACTAAAAATATAATGAAAAGCCTCCTCAATTGTTTCTCCAAGTGCTACCACACCGTGATTTCTGAGTACCAGCACCTAAAATAGAATCCCAAAGCAATCGCTTTAAATAACTGGCATAGCTCACACTGTTTTCATGAATAGCAACAGCAGCAAAAATAGCTCCTTAGAGAGGAACTCTACTACATACCTTACAACTTGGGCCCAAAACTTTTTGTAGTTGAATTCTCTCCTCCTGTTCATCAAGTGATCCTTGGTAGTCATAATAGGCAATATCACCCAGGATTAGAGACTCCTGGGATATTGGAAGGATCCCACACTTCATGGATGATACCTATTTGATTGGGTTCATGACAAGATAACATAGTCACTAAAAACACTTTCACAAGAACCTGATTCAGTTTAAGAAGCTTTTGAAATTCCAGTGTATTCACTGTGTTCACCATTACAGCTCACTTCCTACTTTAGATCTTTCAAAAAAGAAAAAACAAAACCAAAACAAACTCACGGGCTTATGAAACAACTCAACCAAATGCTTTACCAAATATGAGAGATGCTATGCTCCCAAGAACTTTATGACCCCCATTATGAAATGGGTTAGTTAAAAAAATGCCATCTTTCTAGTTATTTCCAGAATGGCAGGATTTAGCCCAAATCAAACCTTTTGCCCAGAGTGCATGCAGAAGAGAACATTAAAAAAAAAAAAGATTTGAATGGCAGGGTCTGAAAGAATGTAGACAGTAAAGCATCAGGTAAAGAAAGCCATGATTATAGCATACTGCCTAGAGTCACTCTTGTTTCCCACCCTTCTGTGACTTACAGCTGCTGTGGCGAGGGTATGGATGTGTATCACACACTTAACATCAGGACGTGTTGAATAGATTGCTGCGTGAGGACTGAATCCTGTATGGTCAATTTTCAAATTAGTACTTCCCTGATCAACCACTTCTCCAATTATGTTGACTTTCACCTGAGAAAATCAGAAAGATATTTGATGCACAAATATCAAAGTTTGCCTAGACTCCAGAAGCTAACTCTGGGAGTGGTGAATTCTTAGAGGTAAAGTTCATATAATAAATCTTTAGACTTTATGGGTCTATGTTGCAATTACTCAATAAGCATCTTAGTACAAAAGCAGTAATAAACAATCATAAAGGAATGGTGCAACTTTGTTCCCATAAAACTTCATTATAAAAAATAGGTAATCTCCAACAAAACTTAGCATTTAGTAAGAAACGGAATAAATTAAGCTCATCTCTGAAGGTCTATACAAGCCTGGCATTTACTGAACTGAACTGGAAATTTCCATTTGCTAACTGCACAGCAGTGAGAATACGTGTAGCTCCTATTGTTTTATAGGCCAATGACAGTGGCTCTGAGTACAAGCATGGAAAAGTAAAAGACTAGGTCAATGTTTATACACATTCTAACTCTCTGGTGTTTAAACACATGCATATTTAAACATACATGCTTAAATAAATACATACATGTGTGTGCATGGCACTAGGTATAGCCCAAAAAATAAAAACAATAAAAAATTAGAAAAAAACAAATTCTTGAGTGCACAGGATGGAAAAGCTTTAAGAGTTCCTTCAAAACATGGATAGGTTAACTCAAAAAGCCTAAACAAATTAGTCTCTTCAATACCCTGGGATTTCTTTTATAAAAATTATTAAAAAATTTGTTTGGGGGGGGCACACCTTGTAGTGCTCAGGGCTTATTTCTTGTGTTTTTTAATTTTATTGAATCACCGTGAGATAGTTACAAGCTTTCATGTTTGGATTACAATCACACAATGATCAAACACCCATTCCTTCACCAGTGCACATTTTCCACCACCAATATCCCCGGTATTGAGGGGATATTTCCCACCCTCCTCCTGCCTCCATGGCAGACAATATTCCCCACACTCTTTCTCCACTTTTGGGCATTATGGTTTGCAATGCAGATACTAAGAGGTTATTGTGTTTGGTTCATTATCTACTTTCAGCACACATCTCTCAGGGCTTATTTCTGACTGCACTTAGGGATCAATTCTGGTGGGGCTCAGGGACCATACAGGTGTCAGGGGTCAAATCTGGATTTGCCATGTGCAAGCCTGTACTATCTCTGTACCTGCTATACTATCTCTCCATCCCTACCCTGCTTTTCTTGAACCCTCAAGCTTTTCTTGTAAATCAACAAAATGTTCTCTTTCAATTAGTAAATGTTTTTTCATCCATAACATATCTTGATCTTTTCTGTGTCGACTAAAATTTATTTTGGTTTTGGTGCTCAGGGCTTACTCCTGGTTCTATGCTCAGGGATCACTCTTGATGGTGCTTAGAGGACAGTACAGGGTACTGAGGATTGAATGTGGGTTGGCTACATGTAGGTAATCGCCCTTCCCACTATACTTTCACTTGAATCCCCTGCTAATTAAAATTTAAAGTAACTATCAGAAAAGCATGAGAAAGTGCAGATACAATAACAGAGGAATAACAACTATACCAAATTGGAGGCTGTGGCTTCAGAAAATGAGAGACCTCTGGGAATTATTATAATGTGATCTTGTTCCTTACTTATTCTTACCTGGAATAAAATAAAAGAGAGAAAGAATTACTGTGAGGTGCGATATTTGGAAATGCAAACATAACTGAAAAATATATATTTGATATATATATAAAAATATATATTTGCAATCTGATGGAATACAACAATAAAATTTTCTTCCCTCAACACTCAAGAACTTGATAAAAATTATGATGTATTTATCATTTATTATATTCACCTAACGTGTTATTTGGGGTTTCTAAGATTGCTTACGATCAACTATGTTTTGGGGGGAAGAGGGGTTTGGGCAACACCTGGCAATGCTCAGGGATCACTCCTGGCAGTGCTCAGGGGACTAGCATATGCAGTGTCAGGAACTGACCGGGGTCATTTGCATGAAGGGCAACAATTCCTGTTTGGTCTCTATACGACATTCTTCTTTTTTTGAAGGGGGGTTGGTGAGGAAGTACTTGGCAGTACTCAGGACTTACTCCTAGTGGTGCTCAGGGAACAACACGGGGTGCCACAGAGGGAAGGTGGGCTAGCTACGTGCAAGACAAAGCTCCTGCTTCTACCTCTCCAGTATTCCTCAACTACATTCTTGAGAAAGAAATGCTAATTTTCTTTCAAACCAAAAAATGGTACTAATTATAATCTTGACTTACGGTCACGGTCCACCGATTTGCTCGAGCAGGCCCAGTAACGTCTCCGTCATGAGACTTGTTGTTACTGTGTTTGGCATATCGAATACGTCATGGGTAGCTTGCCAGGCTCTGCCGTGAGGGCGAGATACTCTCGGTAGCTTGCTGGGCTCTCCGAGAGGGGCGGAGGAATCGAACTCGGGTCAGCCATGTTGGCTGCTTGTAAGGCAAACACCCTACCGCTGTGCTATCACTCCAGCCCAATCTTTGACTTACAATATTAAAAATTAAGGGGAAATGGCCAGAGGAAAGAGAACAGAGTTCTCCTCAGAAGGAATTCAATGGAAGTAAAAGGGCAAAACCAAGAAATGTGGGGAAAATGGAAGAATGTAAAGATTCCACATCATATTTTATACTGTTTTTGGCCTCTAAGCATTGTCTAGCACTCAACTGTGTCAAATGGCAGCATAAAACCAAGATGATGATGAATGGGAACAACATATTTAAAAAAATCAAGTCCTGAGAGGAAATTTTCCTGGCCCCTTATCTTTTTTTTCCATTTAATATTTGTATTATTCTTTAAATTTAGATTTATGGTAGAACTTATTGAGGAAAAAATTTTTTGGCAGAATTTTCTCTCCATGTTAGCTGTATCTGAGGTGCAATAGTACTTAAAAGTATTTGAGATAAGGAAAATAGAGGAGCATGAGAACTTGAGTTATGAGGAAAGGTGAGCAAAGGCACAACTGCCTTCTATCTGGAATTTTACAGAAAGGAAGAAAAAAAAAGTCAAAGGACTCACTGAGATATATGTATTTGCCAGGTGTGCCCATCCAAACAAATCCGCAAGCCTGTAGAGGCTGGCAAGTTTACAGCGAGTAAGTTTTTCTCCCTTCACGTATGAGGATGTATCTGCCCCAGGAAGGTCATTGATAGGTGTGACCATGCCAAGACCTGAAAGAGAAAAAATTGTGGAGAGAAAGTCAGGTTGAGTAATCCCTTACCTGAATTGAGCTCCCAGGAAGTGGCAGAGTCTATGGCAAGGCCCCAGCCTTATAAACAACTGAGGAGAAACTTCCCAGCTCACACAATGTTTCATTAATTTATCTTCCTTCCCAGCAGAACACTGAGAGTGAAAATATGTATCAGTTCTATTCTTTACTTGCTTAGAAAATGCTTCCTTGTCGACTTTTTGTCAGGGAGTGCGGATATCTAAAATTCACATCCTTGGAGAAAATGGCCACGTGATCCTCAAAGCGAAAGCATTATTAATACTGATGTTAAAGTTTTGTGATAAAAAAAATCAACAGAAAGTGACTAAGATTTTATTTTAATGTATATTCAAACAAAAAAATTTAAACTGAAAAGAATACAGCCATATAGCAGTCTGACTTTTGCCTCTTCTACTTAACAAAAACTAGGCATGGTCTCTAAAGACACAACGCCAAGTTCAACTAAGTTCAACTTAGTCTCCATTCTTGCTGACTCCTTCACATTCCCCCCCCTCCCCCCCACACACTTTCCTTTTTGTGGGAGAGTCTCCAAAGCCATGCACAGGGACCTGGGGTCCACTGCTGGTAAAACCTGGCCAATCAGGTAAGATGGCTCAAGCTCGGGCCAGGAATGTGATGGTGCTTGAGCCAGTGGCCAGGGTTCCACCCCTAGTGCTGGGCGGAGGGGGAACGTGGTGCCAGGAATCAGGCCCAGGCACTGTGGCATACAGCATGTACTCCTGCTGGCTGTCTCCCGGCTTCCCTCTGCGTCATTTAGAATGAGTGCTACCTCTTTCCTACAATTCTTCTATAGGCTTGGGTAATGTTATCCTTGATCCCTTTTTAATTCCTGCAGTAGTTTTGCCCCCTGCCTTTGACCTAACCTTGGTTCTTTTTTTTTTTTTTTTTTGCTTTTTTGGGTCACACTCAGCGATGCACAGGGGTTACTCCTGGTTTATGCACTCAGGGGACCATATGGGATGCTGGGAATCGAACCCGGGTCGGCCCTGTGCAAGGCAAAGCCCTACTCAGTGTGCTACTGCTCCAGCCCCCCAAACCTTGGTTCTTTCTTTCCTAAAGCTCAGTTTCATACAATGTTACTTTCCCTTTTTTCCTTTCTTTCAGGAGAACATCATATATTCTCAAGCTTCCCATTGTTATTTCTGCGCTGTTCAGACCCTCCGCCCATTCTTTTGCCTGCTGTTTCCAAGGGCCCACAACTTAAAAGGGTCAAGGAATCAGGAAACTAGTTCAAAGATCTGTGTGAAGTCCTGGGTTTGATCCTCAGCAGCTAAAGAAACAAAGAAACGGGGCCAGAGCTATAGTACTATGGGTAGGGTATTTGCCTTGCACACCAGGGTTCAATCCCTGCTACCACATATGGTCCCCCGAGTTCTACTGGGAGTGATCCTGAGTGAAGAGCCAGGAAAGCACACACCAGGAGCATTGCCTGGTGTGCGTCTCCCTCCCTGCCACATGAGAAAAACATAAATAGATCTAGATGAGATTCCCCCCACTCCCTCCCCCCATACTTCCTCCTTCCTTCCTCCTTCCCTCCCCCCTGCCCCCCCCCCCCCCCCGTCCCTCCCCTTCCCTCCTAGGGCCATACCCAGCAGTACTCACTCCTGGGTTCTGTACCCAGGGGATCATATGTGGCGCCAGATCACACCAGGGGTGGATGTTGGGTTAGGCAAGCGCCTTATTCTCCCTGGCCCAAATATTTATCTTCTATTTTCTCCTTATACTTAAAAAATATTGATGGCATTACAATCCCCCACAGGCTTAAATGCTAAGTTCTCTTACCTCTTAACTTTTCTGGGGCCAACAAATGTAAAGCACCACAAGTTCTACTATTTTTTTTCTTCAAAAGGTCTCTCATTTTCCCATACATTTGCCATGTAATCACTATAATAAGTAGAATGCCTAGAGCCCCTCTGTAAATTCATTCTGCATGAAAAATGATCAGGTTAAGTTTCCTACGCCACCACTTTTAACCTCACTATTCCCCTACTCAAAGTTTTTTAGGAGTCCCACACTTGAAGACTTACAAGGGCCAGAAAATTAGTGCAAATGCATAAAAATGAAGTTAAACACTGGGTCTGGTATGCCAGCGGCCCACAAGACAGCACATGTGAAGGGTGCAGGTTCCAACTCATCAATCTGCTATTATCATGTGAGAATCCAGAGATGTTAAAATGTTTAAAAGAAGTCCCAGACTAACACTCTGTAAAATCCAATTTTGAAATGTTACATATTAAGAGAAATACTTTTAACAAGTAAGCCAATCAAAATATTTTAATTTCTTTTTCATATTTCTTGGTTTTTGGGCCACAGCTGGCTCTGTGCTCAGGGGTCATGCCTAGAGGTTTGCAGTGCTGGGATCTGAACCAGGGTAACAACCCAGCCACATGCTAGGTAACAGTCTTAACCTTTGTACTATCTCTCTGTCCCCCAAAACAATATAATTTCTGACAAAATTTCAGTTAGCCAATAACCTACTTCTTTTAATCTCTATCCTTCTAATTATAATTTCCACTTTTTACATAAAATGTAAATGTCCCAGATGACTCATTTCTATTCTGTGGTCTTTGTTTGGGACATCGCTTTCCTGCTGCCATCCTTTACACATTCCTGCCAAGAACCCTAGAGATCACCTTTCTTATCTAGGACACTCAGGTCAGCTCCTCTTACGTCTCTCTTGCCTCCAACTTAAAAATCTTTCAATAGACTCTTGTTTGTCCTTATCCTCTTGTGGGATTCTCTTTTTTGGAGGGGGGGAGGGGTCATACCTGGAGATACTCTGGGGTTACTCCTGCTTCTGTACTCAGGAATTATTCCTGGCGGTGTTAGGGGACATTATGGAATGCCAGGGATTGAATGTGGGCAAGACAAGCATGCTCACTGCTGTATTAACACTGTGGCCCCTGGAATTCTTTAATCAACATATACAGCTTTGAGTGATAGTTTTTTGTGTCCATCTGTGAAGCAGCTCCAGATCATAATCTTTATTTTTGTTGATTAAAGAGGCTGCCAAATTTATTCCTATCTTATATTTAAATTAGATCTTCTACCTTTTCATAGATCTTGGTATGGTGTGTTCCTTTTTGCTATTCAGGTTTCAGACTCACCTCTGATTATCCAATAGAGTCACTTAGATACTCCTATCAAATCATCATATGCCTTTCTCATCAATTAATCTCTTTCTTCTGTACCCATAATCAGCACTTTAGCTTGGGCACTTATGCCTTCAGAACATTAGGTCTCTTTCAAAGATTCTTTAGCTAACGTGCTATGTTCTAAAATACTAGTGCACTTAAGAGCTCTACAAATATTAGAAAATACTGAAATTAACTGAACTCTTAATATTAAACCTAGCCTCCCAAAAGGTGAAGGGACACAATTCTGAAGTGAATCATTATCATCTTTTGGATGCCAGGCAGCCCCTTGTAGTCCCCTTTGAAAATCTGTGTGCATGCACCTATATTACAGTAAGTTCTGTACAAATCTTATAAACTGGTAATGTACTTAAACTCTGTCCTTTTTCTTGGGGGGCGGACGAGAGGGAGATGTTGGATCCCATTTGGTGATGCTCAGGACTTACTCCTGGCTCTATACTCAGGGTTCATTGCTTGCAGGCTTGAGATACCATAAGGGGTGCCAGGGATTAAAACTGGATTGGCAGTGTGCATGGGATAAAGCACCCTATCTGCTGTACTGTCTGGCTGAACTCTGTGTCTCTTGATTCTTGGTATCCTGATGACGATCAGTTCACTAAAATGGTGTTGCAGAATGAATAAAATGTCTCAACACCCTTTTTACATAAAATACTAACTATTGCATGCTTTAACGTTTATTAAGATCAGGAATTCTTCTACAAAGTTTTCTCAGAGCACTGCAGTCAATAATTATTCCAGACCTGAGTTCAGAGCATAGTGACGTTATCAAAAGGTCATTAGGCAATTTTTTATGAGCTGTTTTATAAATCTTTTCTCAATAGCTATCTTGAAGTTTTAATCTTTTGTACATTCATGGCATTTTTCCTCAACTAAAATATAAATTATCTAGGGCAGGAACTATATCTTCTATTTTACAATCCTCATGAAGTCTAGTAAAGTGTCTGGTTGATATAAAAAGTATGAGATCATAACATATTACTCTAAGGAGAAGATGTTATGAATATAACATATGGATTGAACTGAGCAGAATAAGCTGCTAGAGACCATACAGTGTCCAAAGTAGAGATAAAAGTGTAATCTTTTAAACTTTCCAAAACAGACTTACTGAGGGGAGATGAAGTAAGGCCTGAAAAAGAATTGGCCATGATGTAATCTGCAATCTGTTGTAATGCTAATAATCCAGTTGGGTTGTGGCCTTTCTTCATCTGTTCTTGAATAAGGCATTCCAGGTCTTCCCGAAAGGCCTGAAACACACAGAAATAATCACTGAACACATGCATCTCCCTTGAAGCGGAACAACCCAAACAACTTGCTCCAATATAATCTTGACAAGCTTTTATCTAAAGTATTTGAAAACAAAAAAACCCCATAATACAATAAAAACAGTGTAAGAAGCATACTCTCCAGAAGGAAAAAATCATAGGTATTCTTATACTCAAGGAAAATAAAAAATTAGAGCTAAGGAGGTAGCTCAAATAGCTGGTGCAAAAGTCTACTGTGTACAAGGCCCTGGGTTTGATCCCCAGCTCCAGATAGCCTGAGTATTATACTATTAGGTGAAACCCTGGTGGCTCCAAGCACTGTGCCCTCCCGCTCTTGCAAGAAAATGAGATTATAACATCTACAGTAGGCAGGTACAGATAGAGACATCTATTAATATGCAATAAGAACACAGAGTACAGACTGATTAGAAAAGAGACTCATTCCTTGCATCTGATAGCCTTTTTATCTGGTAAGAACAGATCCTTCGTCTAATGACCGATAACTACAGAGTGACTCATGGCAAAAATTTTCACTAAAGTGGACTAACTCAGGGCTTCCTCCATTTTATGATTTCCATAGCAGTCTCTTAACTTTATAAACACTGGAGGCAAACTGATCAGAGTTAACGAATTACTCTTTTCCAGCAACAATATGTTAAAGAAAGAATAATTTCTTCCAGCTTTGGGATCTGTATATTCCTGTTCGGGAATTCTACTATTTTTTTAATTTTTTTTTTTTTGGTGGTGGTGGGGGGATAAGTGTGGGTAATGGGTGGGTGGTGGTAGCAGAACAGTATTTACACAATCAAAATCCTGAACATTAAGAGAAAATCTCTATTCCAGTAATCCTTGAGTCGCTTACATGACTCATCATTTGGAAACCCTTCCCAATCTCTCATAGTAGTTGAAACAGCTAGGTTTGTATTGCTATTACGCTTAACCATTGCTTAATTAAATCCATCATTTGTTTTCCTGTATACAACTATTTTCATTCATTTTAAACATGAAGGCTCTTGCACTGCAAATCATCTAAACTTTTCCCTTCCATTTGGGACTGGGTTACATGTGTAATAAAATGCTGTCAGATATTCAATTCAGTGCTTGACTATTTTACCTAAGAAGAAAAAGGCAGAAAATTGTTTCCCAAACACTCCCTCTCAGTAGGCTGGGTAGAACCAGAACACCTTGGAGATGACTGGGAAAATCTTCCCTGGAAGGGTAACTTTCCTTATAATCACTGATAGAAGTTCAGCTCCTAACACTGAGAAAAGGTCACGTTGAATCCCTGCCTAGATGTTGCCTGCTTAGAGGATGCCTAATAATTCAGAGATGTTCAGAAAAAGGAACTTTCAAAATCCTACAGGAGCTCCTGGTGGAGAAAGGAAAATGTAGTTCTGAGGTTAAGTACTGATAGAACCAGTCCTGACTCATGCTTTAAGTGTTTTTGAGAACTTCAGTTGAAGCATCTGTGATAGAAATTTCATGTAACACCCTGAGTTTAATACAGGGAGGCCATTCTTTGCTGTTGCACCATTGCGGACTACAGTGAAGAAGTATTATCTTGTCACGTGAGCAAAGGCAAATTTTCTTTTTCATTTTTTTTTCTTTTTGGGTCACACCCGGCAATTCACAGGAGTTACTCCTGGCTTGTACTCAGGAATTACTCCTGGCGGTGCTCAGGGGACCATATGGGATGCTGGGAATCGAACCTGGGTTGGGTGTGTGCAAGGCAAATGCACTAGCTGCTGTGCTACCGCTCCAGCCCCAAGGCAAATTTTCAACACCACCACCACTGCTGGTCAGAGATACAGTGGCAGTGGGACTGAGTAGCATTTAGTGTGTCTTCTTCAATGTTTACACAACATACAAGACATCTTGAATACAGAAGCCAATGAAAAACTTGCTCGGGCTGTGGGACACTGAAATTCTTGTAAAAATTAAGGACAGCAGAAATTCCAAGAGGAAGATGTTTTACTTTTTGGTAAATATATCAGGTAGAAGTTTGAGAAATTAAAAAAATACTAGCTGCAACCACCTTCATATTCTAAGTTAATAAAGTTTATACCAGTTAAACATTTTTTTTTTAAAAAAAATTCAAGGCTTGTTAAATGTAAACCACAGCACATTTACAAAAATTCTACATGGCTGTGGGTGGGGTAGAGGGGTACTCTGAGCAGGCACTTGGACACAGATAAACGGTGACAAAAAGTGGACATCCCTTTTTGTGTAAAAGAATTTTTTTTAATCATTGTGAATTACAAAGTTACAAAGTTATTCAAGACTGTGTTTCAGGTATACAATGTTCCAAAGTCAATCACTTCACCAGTGTCCCCTTCTCTCCATCAATGTCCCTAAGTTCCCTCCTTCTCCCCTCAGCCAGCTCTACTTTTTTTTTTCTTTATCTTTTTTCCTGTTACCCCTCCACCTTTGAGGCACTGTGGTTTGCAATACTGTTACTGATAGGGTACGATGCATGTCACTTTACCTCCTTCTAGCACCTGGTCCAGAGTGACCACTTTCTTCTATTACTGTCATAGTGGTCCCTTTCCTAACCTATCCTCCCCACCAGTTCTACCCCAGTGGCAAGCTTCCACCTAGGATAAGTTTTTCTGCTCTTCATTTCTATTGCCTTTAAGCTTTAGTGATTCCCCTATTATGTTTCTTTATAACCTGAATATAAGTGAACAAGTGGACATTCTGATAAAGAATGTGGTGTTGAGATGTTGTATACACGAAATCTTGTCATTAATGATAGTAAATCACGGTGCTTCAAATAAATTAGAACAATAAAAAATTAAAAATTCTAAACATCTGGTTCTATGCACTGTATCTAGTTCATTTAAAAAAGATGATTCAAACCACAAAAACTAGCTTGTAACATCTTCTTCAGTGACACATTGATCAGAAAATCCTGTACACAGATTTTCAAGATCTTCTGAACATAAAATGGTTGTGAACTATATAAAGGTGGATAGATGCCTTCATACAAAAAAAAAAAAGGAATGAGTATTTTACCATGGTTAAGGACAAAAGGAAAAGAATCTTCCAGATATGCTCATTTATCTTTATCTAAACTACAGAAAACTTCTGAACACTTGGCAAAGTTCCATACTACTCTTCTGAAATTTTATCTTCCCTTCAAAACCAAACTCTACTTAAATAGTCCTCAGTTCAAAGCAGCTATAATCAATATTCTTTGATTCAGTTAAAAAAATTAACAAATCCACTATGTACTTTCTCATTATTTACAACAACTCTAAAAATTTGGCATTATTTATTTCATTGATGAACGACTGTCCTAACTTTTTCCAAGAAGTATTTAAGGCAGATACCATAGTTTAAAAATGATACAAAAATATTTAAGAAAAATCAAGCTAATGAAAAAAAAGTAGGAAGAGGTTTAAACAGTGTCAGAAATGAAGATGCAAAGTGCATAACACAACATTATATACATTTCCTAGACATGGGTAAATCTCCCCCTTTCCCCTCCCCCCCAAATAAACATTGGTGCCAGGGGTTAAATTCAGAGACTCGCACATCAGAGATTTGCACATGTGAGGTTACCACTTGATATATGTAAAGTGTCACTGAACTATATCCTGGGCTTGATGAGTCACATTTTATCGAATTCATAGCAACCAACATGAAATAAGATAATCTGTTCCATATGCTGATTTATAATGACTTCAAGATAAAAAACTAATCAGTTGTCCAAGATAATCAGTTATTATAAAAAATAACTGAGAGATTTTTGCTGGGTGAGAAGAAAAAGTTTTATTAGAAAAGTTAAAAAGGAAGAAAGGAATGTAAAAGTTCTTCAAAAATCATCTCTGAGGGAGAGAACAAAAGAGAATGCCCTGCCACAGAGGCAGGGTGGGATGGGAGGGGATGGGGGGTGGGAGGGATACTGGGATCTGTGGTGGTGGGAAATGGGCACTGGTGGAGGGATGGGTATTTGATCATTGTATAATTGAAATCCAAGCACAAAAATTTGTAAGTCTACAGCTGTACCTCATGGTGTCTCACTAATAAAAAAAAAAGAAAAACAAAAAACAAAAAACCATCTCTGAGGGGCCAAAGAGACAGTGTAGCGGTTACAATACTAGCCTTGCTTGTGAACTCTGGTTCAGTCCCAAGCATCACATATGATGTTCTGATCTCTTCCAGGAATGATCCCTGAGCACAACATCAGGAATAAGTCCTGAGTACTGCTGATTGTGGCCCAAACTGTGCCCCTTCCCCAACAGTCAACTAACGGAAAAATTTTTCCCTTTATGGTTAGTGAATATCTTTGATTATTCTATACAAAAAAAGATTGTAAAGGAAATTAAACTTCACCAGACATTTTATTTCAGCTAAGAATATGATTACAAAAAATTAGTACTTTTCATCGTTAATTATTTTTTAATATTTTGAATGCCTTTGAAACACTGTTCAGATACTGACAGTATAGAACAACTTTGACTATTTAAAATTGTTATCAATATAAGAAGTTTATATGAATAATATTTGGTAATCATATTATTTGTTAACAAAATAATTCTTTATAGCTGATTCATCTGAATTTCACTGCGAAGTTTTTCTTTTTTGTTGGGGGGGGTGGTGTGTACCACACATGGTGGTACTGGGGGCTCCTGGTATGTTGCTTGGAGGATATTATGTGGTGTCAGGAATGAAACCCACGACTCCCACATGCAAAGCCTACAATCCAGACCTTTGGTTGAGCATCTCTCTAGAGCCTATGAGTCTCACTACAAAGTGTTGGGTGAGGCCATGATTTTCTCAAGGTTGCCAAGCTAATAACGAAATAAATAAATGCAATGAAGAACGACATCTGGAATTTTCATTTGAGCATAGGCTCTTTCCCTAATTTTATCACAGCTTGGCTATATCACCGAAACCAAATAAACCAATAATGAAGCAGGCATACTGTGATTAGAAACACTGAGTATACCTCCTAGCTAGAGTTGAGGTTGTAATGA